CCAAGGATCCGGAGTTCAGCGCCGGAACGCCATCTTAGACATGCGCAGAAGAGAAATAATAATAAATAAATAAATAAATACACCAAATATATATTTTGCTGATAAAGAAATAAAGGGAGACTAGTATTTCAAGCTTTTTAGCTCTCATCAGCCAGCCATACCCTTATGGCTGGCCGATGAGAGCTAAAAAGCTTGAAATAGATCTATACTAGTCTCCCTTTATTTCTTTATCAGCAAAATATATATTTGTTATAAAATGGTTTGTCGTGAATGCGACTGCTTGTGGGCTCCTGGATTGGAGCTGAAAGGCAAAAGGGAGCAGAATGCCCCCTCCCACATGTTGGGGTAGACCAGGTGTCTCAGTAAACATATATATACATATATATGCTCTCATAAATAGACGAATCTTAACACCAAATATAAAACATAGATCAAGTATTAATCAAAAGGCATGTACAAGTCCCAACCCAATCATATTCAAACCAGCCACAAAGATGAAGCCCTGCCACCTAGTGGAGAAAAACCGACCATACACCCGAAGCCAAGCCAATAAACACATTCTGGGACTCCCAACCAATCAGAATGAAAAGGTGGAGCCATCCCAGACTACCAGCACCAGATTTGAAATAGTAACGGCAGTTACTGCAAAAGACTCCTCACATAAGCCTGATGATGGCAGATGAGATTCTGTCGAAACGTCGCTTCTACCCTTTTAGGGATATATCCACAATTACACGGGAAGAAACCCGAAATATTAACTATACACATATATATATATACATATATATATATATGTAGGTCTTTGGTTATTCCAAAGACTTTGGTCTTTGGTTAGTCTTTGGGTTTTGTCCCGCATAAAATTAGAAGTACCTTGGCGACATTTCGATGAAGTCTCATTCATCATTTTCAGGTTGGTGTCTTCAGCCTTGTGCTTCTAGGAGCAATGTGTGATCATGGTTGTTTCTTCTTTTCAACTGCCAGTGGGGGTATGAACTGATTAGGTGGGAACATGGCTGTGTTCTGATTGGGTGGAGGTGTGTTTTGAATGGGAGGGGGCTTGGCTATGCTCTGATTGGGTGAGGGCTTGGCTGTGCACACAAAGAAGAACAAAAAGCACTCACCAACTTGAGGAAAGACAATAACATAATCATTCTCCCAGCAGACAAAGGTAATGCCACAGTGGTGTTAAACACATCTGACTACCAAGCTAAACTATCCAACCTATTCCAAGACCCCGCTTACAAACCTCTAAACACAGACCCCACCACCTACCTGGAAAAACCCACCAAATCCAAAATAAAAGCCTCTCCCATCAGTGAAGAGATCCAGCAAAGAATCATCCCCAGAGAGAAATCATCCAGATGCCCCAAGCTCTATGGCCTCCCCAAGATACACAAAGAAGGAACACCACTCAGACCCATAGTCAGCTCCATAGACTCACCTCTACAGAATCTTGCCAAATTTCTTGCCAAACAACTTCAGCCCTACACAGAATCCATCACCTCACACATACAAAACTCATTCCACTTCATAGAAACAATAAAGAAACAAAACCTACAACCCAGCGACCTACTCGTGAGCTTCGATGTCATATCCCTCTTCACCCAAATACCTATTAAAGAAGCCTTGACAGCTATCCAAAACAAATACAACCCTCCAAGCACATCCTAGATCTGACCAACTACTGCCTAACCAACGCACACTTCATCCACAATGGACAAAGATACAAACAGATAGAAGGAGCACCTATTGGATCACCCCTCTCACCCGTCATCGCAAACTTATACATGGAACACTTTGAAACCAATGCTTTAGATAAATCTGAACACAAACCCAAACTCTGGCTTAGATATGTAGATGACGCTTTCATAATTTGGCTACACGGAAAAGAAAAACTGGACAACTTTCTCACACACCTCAACAGCCTACATCCCAAAATACAATTTACTATGGAAATAGACGCTAACAACCAACTCCCCTTTCTGAACGTCCTAATCTACAAAAAACCCAATGGCTCCCTAGGACACACCATCTACCAGAAAAAAACACAGACCAATCGCTACTTAAACACACCATCACATCACCACCCTGCACAGATCAACTCCATAGCCAAGACTCTCATCTCCAGAACCAAACGCCTAGCCAGCAAAGACCACCTGAAAACTGAATTACACACTCTCACAAATGTATTAATCTCTAAAGGATTCCAAAGAAACACAATTACCAACCTAATCCAAAGGGAGACACCCCCCAAGAACCGAGACACAAAACAGGACAACGGCATCGCCCTCCTCCCTTACATCAAAGGCACCACAGATAAAATCAGCAAAATTCTCCACAAACACAATATCAAGACAGCCTTCTGCACTGACCAAAAAATAGCCAACATCTTAAGAAACCCCAAAGACAAGATCCAGCTAGAAAACCAAGGAGTCTATGAAATACCATGCAAAATCTGTCCAGCCACATACATTGGACAAACTAATAGGAGAATAAATGCAAGCATTGCAGAACACAAGAATGCAATCAGAAAAGAAGAAAAAACTTCCTCCCTTTTCCAGCACCTTAAAACAACAGGACATGAAATTAACTTTGAAGGAACCAAATTAATCTCCAAAACTGAACACTTCAACAAGAGAATAATCATGGAAGCCATTGAAATAGAGAAACACCCCCATAACATGAATAAACACGACGATTCCTCCCACCTACCGGACATCTGGAAACTAGCCCTAGTCAACAGAAGAGTCCCAGCCACGAAGATTAACACCGGACCTGATTAACACATGACACCACCACCAATCTTCTTCACCAGATTCAAACCCAAACCCATCCCATAGACGAAATACAACCACCACCATACCAAGGCAACTGACCACCAAGAAAAAGAATGGCATTCAAGGCAGTGGTGAAATATAAAATTTGTTACTACCGGTTCTGTGGGCGTGGCTTGGGGGGGAGTAATGTGACTGGGTGGGCGTGGCCATTTTTTTTTTTTTTACTTTTAAAACCATTTTTTCTACAACCTCTTCAGCAAAGAGGTTGTAAAAAAATGCTTTCAAAAGGCTCTGACGATCCTAACTGAGTTGCCTGATCGGCAGAAAAGCCTCTGCCGATCAGGCCACTCAGCTGGGATCGTCAGAGGCATTTAGAAGAAAAAAAGGGTTTTTTTTCTTTTAAAAGCCTTTGATGATCCCAGCTGAGCCGCACAATCATCAGAGGCTTTTTTTTTTTACTTTTAAAAGCATTTTTTCGGCCGAAGAGGTTGTAGAAAAAATGCTTTTAAAAGAAAAAAAAAGCCTCTGGTGATTGTGCGGCTCAGCTGGGCATGGGGGGAGGGGAGCAGGGATTTTTGCTACCGGTTCTCTGAACCACCCACCTCCATGGCTACTGGATCAGGTGATCCGGTCCAAACCAGGAGCATTTCACCCCTGATTCAAGGGGTTTTCAGATGAAGAGCTATCTTCCAAGCCGAAGTCCCAAGGTAAATCTTTCAAATTTTCCCTCGTTATATTTGATATCAGGAAAGGCTTTTCTTTGGATCACGTTTTCTCAATCATGGAATTATACAATATGAGACATTATACAAACAATACACTATTGTAAACCATCCAGAGTCACTCTGGACAGGGAGACAGGCAGCATATAAATGTGGAGAAGCTGAATTCTAATTGCAAAGCTTCTTTTCCACTAGGATCCACAACATCTCTTTACTTAGAGTTGGAAGGGATCTTGTAAGTCATCTAGTCCAACCCCTCACCCAAGCTGGAGACTCAACACCATTTCTGACAAATGGCAGTCCAGTCTCTTCTTGAAAGCCTCCAGTGATGAAGCTCCCACAACTTCCGAAGGCAACTTCTGTTCCATGGGTTGATGGTTCTCACTCTCAGAAAATTCCTCCTTATTTCCAGGTTGAATCTCTCCTTGATTAGTTTCCATCCATTATTCCTTGTCCGGCCTTCAGGTGCCTTGGAAAATAGCTTGACCCCCTCCTCTCTGTGACAGCCCCTCAAATATTGGAAGACTGCTATCATATCTCCCCTGGTCCTTCTCTTCACTAGGCCAGCCATGCCCACTTCCTGCAACTGTTCTTTGTATGTTTTAACCTCCAGTCCCCTAATCATCTTGATTGCTCTTCTCTGCACTTTTTCTAGAGTCTCAACATCTTTTTTATAGTGTGGTGACCAAAACTGGATGCAGTATTCTAGTTGTGGTCTTACTAGGGCTTTATAGAGTGATCTTAGTACCTCACTTGATCTTGATGGTATCCCTCTGTTAATGCAATTTAGGATTGCATTGGCTTTTTGGGTGCCGTTGCACACTCTTGACTCATATTTAATTGGTTGTCTACTAAGACTCCAGGATCCCTCTCAGTTATTGCTATTAAGCTTGGTTTCACCCAGTCTATATGTGTGCTTTTGATTTTTCTTGCCTTACATTTCTCTACATTGAATTTCATTTTGTTAGATAGGGCCCAGTGTTCAAGGCTGTCAAGATCCATCTGGCTCTTGAGCCTATCGTCTAGAGTGTTGGCTATTCCTGCCAGCTTAGTATCATCCACAAATTTGGTAAACTTCATTGGATTCAGTCCAAACCTGAACTCATTCTCTAGTAAACAGAATTGCCTTCTTCTTTGATATTTGATGACAAGGAATAAGCAAAATTGAGGCTATCAACACTACAATCCCCAGAACTCAATGGATCTATCCCCAGGTTTATGGAGATAATAAGTATAGACAAAAGGACCATCATCTATGTCCTAAAGAATCATCACCCTGGATCCCAGGTTCTCTGAATTAGCTTAGAACATTGTTCCATATCATAGCATTTGAAGGACACTTTCTTCATTACTAGTGAAGCCTCCCAAGCAGTCTAAGAAAATTATGATTCCTCACATTCAATTCTCAGTGAAGGTCATCCACCATGGTGATTAGGCTTAGCCCAAAGAAAATGGTTCCTAAAGTTTGGAAAATAGAGAAAAACACCAATATTTCACTCACCTTGTTGTGCAACTTTAGCCTTGAAAGAACATCTTGGTTGATAAGAAGTCTCCCTCTTTTAAACGTCCCTGGGTGCTGATAAATGTGATCCATCTTGGGGAGAACCACCCAGCTCCTGATGACCAGATCTGCTGCTATATCTCCATTTTGGTCCAAGTACAGTTTTCTCGCAGAAAGGTTGCAAAACTCATTCTTCGCCAGAAAGGGATGAAACTAAAATGGAAACTCCAGGAATGTTAAAAGCCTAAATTTTGATTTCTTCTCTCATGTTGTTTTTTCATGTTTGAATTTTTTACAGTTAACTGACCTGCAAGTATTCTTAGTTGGGAGAATAAGAGTCACCATTATCTTCAAAAGTAAAAGCAAAAACAAAAAACAAAAAACAAAACAAAGATTTAACAAAATATGTTAATCAAACTTCATATAACCCCCCCCACACACACACACACACTATTTCTACAGCCTGAAAAGTTAGACAGGATCCTTTCTGAATTTCTTTCTCTACCTGTTATGCAGCTGAAGGCTCTCCTGCCTCCTATCTACAGAATACAAAATAATAGATTTGGAAGGGACTCAGGAGGTCTTCTAGTCCAACCCCTCGCTCAAGCAGGAGACCCTATAGGGCCTATACCCATGATGGTGAACCTATGGCATGTGTACCAGAGGTGCCACGCTGAGCCCTCTCTGTGGGCACGCCCACCATCGCCCCAGCTCATCCAGCTGGTTGTAGGGTTTTCGAGGCACGCATGAGCGCCGGCCAGCTGGTCATCAGGTTTGGGCACTCTGTGCCTAAAAGGTTCGCCATCACTGGCCTATGCTATTTCAGACAAATGGCTGTCCAGTCTCTTCTTAAAAATCTGATCATTTCTTGTCAGCATATTTTCCTCCATCCCCAAGCTCATTTCCACATATCATTAGACTTGTTAATGGATTGTGGGAATGCTTTGGTTATAACCTGATTTCATCAAAGTATTAACAAACATCTTCATGTGATCATGATTAGAAAACAAGTTAAGTGAGTGTCAGTTCATGTGATAATTAAGTGGAAAAAGACTAGGTTAAAAATTGTACTCAAATAATTTTCACTATTCCTCATATAATTGGGGAGATATGAATAAAAATTAATCCTTGCTCATCTATTCCTCAATATATTCATTATAACAGGCAGATTGAATTGATAATTCATGATAATTTGACGCATGATTGATTCCAATTCTTAGATAAAGCTACTTAGCTCACTTTTTAAAATCCTACTTTCAACAAGACATTAAAAAGAAAAATGTGTATTTAAAAAGGACTTTTTAATGCACTCTTTTTTAATATCTTGTTTTTAATATCTTGCTTCTTGTGCTTTGTTTTTTTAATGTTTTCGTGGTTTGTTTTTGAACTTTTTTAGAAATAAATTAAAGTGAAAACTAAAACATTCCCAGCTTCCAAAAATATATATATATAATTTCTCAACGGTGAAAGGTGCATAAATTAAATCCAATAGAAAAATATCTGAAAAATATATCTAGCAATTTGGACTTGACAAAGTAAGGTATATCATATAAGAATAGATGGATGAGAGCTCTGTCATGTAGATCTATCCTTAAGGCTTCATTTGTACTTTTTGATATTATTAAAAATGTATACTGGTCACTGATTATAATAAAATTGGTGGTAGCAACTAATTTATTAGAGGAATAATCATATAATTAACTTGATAATTACAAGGAGAAAAGCTAAAAATCAGGAGGGGTCTGGAGCCTCTTTTCCAACTGACACAATCTCTTGGTTGGAGAAGGGGGGATTCAGCCCTCTTCCAATCACTGCAAGATTGCAGACAGAAGCATAAGATTGGCTCACTGTTATTCCAGAGTGTCAGACGTGGAAACATGACTTCAGTCACAAGAGGGGACATTCTGGCTGAATGGGAGGAAAAACATCCTAAAAAGAGGAGCTGTTTTAGAGCTGAGCCAGTGAATGAGAGTTCAGTTTCCCCTTCTCTGATTGGTTGGGGTTTCTGCAGAGAGGAGGGGTTGGGTTAGATAGCCTCAGGGGCTCCCTCAGATTTACGAAGGAAAGAAATCTATACAATCTAATCATAAACCCATAAAGATGGGAATCAATTTAAAATGCACCCATCTTTTTCTTAATTAGAAGTTTTTAATATCAAAATACAGATATATCTGTATATTTGTAATATATCTGTCATGATGGACAGATCTTTGGAACACTATCCTTCGAGTGATCTTTGGAATATTAGGCCATGAATGATTAAATTGGCCAAACTCCTTTCCTTTTGTGGTACAAAGAGACTCAGATGGTTCTCCCGCATCTCCTTTGGGTACTTTCTCAAAAGTAACTAAGGTGGATGGATCCTTGTCAGGACCTCTTACCTGCCATGGCTGCAGCCTCAGAGCCCCCAACCTCTCTTCCCCCTCCTTCCTTCTCCTCCTCCTGGAGGAATAGGCAGCATTCAAGGCCTGGGCCAGAGTCCGAATGATACTGTAGAGATGGGGGTAATTAATGATCTGCATCCTGTCCCTTTTCTCCTGGGTCTCCAGTGGGGCTTTCTGGGTGCATCTTCTCCGGCCTTTGACAGAAAAGACGGGTTTTGAAAGAGAACAGTGAAAATAATGATCTTCAACCTGGGGTTCCAAAAATAGATGGGGTTCAAATGAATTATATATTTGCTCAGACTTCTTCTGCAAACCAAAGGCCCAAATACTATGGACAAATTTGAGAAGTTTGTGCCTTCTAATTGTGAAATGGCCCAAGACTGTCAAGATCCAGACTTTCCCTTCAATGGGTCCTGGCAAATGCCTGAGTGCTAAATGGAAAGGAAGAATTGTGGCCCAAAGGGAATCGTATTCTACAAAGTGAACAAAGACGTTGACTTGTCTCCAGTTAGAGAGGGCCTCCCTGAGGGCTGCTGTATGACCAGTTGTTGAGAATTGTTGTGATATAACAGCACAAATTCCATTCTGGAGAAGCATAGGAGTAAAAGTCCTCATGAAATTCACTCCCTCCTCTGTGCCTGAAGCAAAGAGACCAATCAAGGTCCATTTGAAATGGAGGAGCAGTGGGACAATGGCTGGGTACTGGAATCCTTGTTTGGGGAGCATCAGGTAGAAAAAGGGGAATTTACTTTTATCACTCAGAGCCTCTGAAACAGGTTCAGCACTGATCTGAAAAAGCAATGAAAAATGTTGTGTTATATTTGGGGTCAGATCAAATCCAAATATTAGTTCATATCCAAATATTAGTTCTCATGAACATATTAGAATAATTCATTGTTGACTAGCCATTAAATCATATCAAAATGCATAATGTAGAACACAGGCCATTAATAAATCTGTTTATAAAAACAGAATGTGAGAATAAACTAAGAACAAAAAAGAATGTAAATTATTTCTGTATCATCCTTACAATTAACCACAATCAGACCCACATATCCAGATCTCAATGGACCTGCTTTGCTGATACAAAGGGCTGTATTATATGCATTTTTAAAAATTCTGATGAATTTTTAATATATATATTATATATTGTATATATATTGTTTTAATATGTGGATCCCAATAGATTTGTTTATGTGATGTTCAGTCCAAAATACTCATCTCTCTCTTTCTTAGACAATTGACATTCCAATAATAGAAGTTGTACAAGACAAAGGGAGAACACACCTCCCAATATAATTTGTCAGTTGTACAATCTGAGATGCCTTTAATTGAAATTTTACAGTTCTAGCACAGAGAATATTGGGAGTCTGTCAGATTCCACAGTTTTAATTGTAACTATATACACTGATTTTAGGCAAAGGATAAATTGCATAAATTCCCAATTCAGTTCTTAGGACAGCAGCTGAAGTCCTTTTATTCGTCCTTAAGATACTTCTCAGATGCTGTCATTGGGTTTGTTCCAGTAGTGTTATATATTAAGCCCTAAACTTCAATTTGATATAAGGGCTTAGGGTAAGTTTGACATTATATACTTCAATAAATGGAAAGAAAGCTGGATAGCTATGTGTTTTTTTAAAACACTAAATTCACTTGTGCCTTTTCTCTATCATCTTTGGATGATATGGGAAGCAATATCCAGTCTCAGTGAAAATTACCCCGGGTAAGGAAAGGTGTTACTGGCACTGTTGGCTCACAATCAAATAGGCATCTATGGCTATGATGTTGCTTTTGAAAAACCATAACTTTGATTCATCAATTATCATTGAATGATTATATCAGTGGGAGCAAAGTTTCTTTAATAGCCTAGCAATCCAATTTATGAATATAAATAAAAAAATAAATTATCCATCTAGGCTCGAGAAAAGCCTCCGGAACCTAGGGAGGGCAAAAACACCCCCCCCCAATGCTGCAGAAGGCAGACTAGGCCACGCCCACCATGGCCACACCCACCCAGCAACCGGGCAGGGAACCCCTTGCTAAAATTTTTGAAGCCCATCCTTGGTTGGATCTATTGCTCTCCAAACACCATCCCACTCAGATAAAGGAGCACACACACACACACACAAACCTGTGGGACTTTGTAGATGCCTACTAAGGTTGACATCTGGATGGAGATGTCCCTGCTAGCTCCATCAAGAAGAGCCAGAAGGTTGTCCTTCCTTCCACAGAGGTAATTGGGAACATTGGCTTCTCCAGTGGAGAGTGTGTCCAGCAAGACATCTGAAGTGCGTAAAGTGCTAAAATAATTGTCATGGATGTTGTAGCCAAGCGTGAGATTATGCAGGAGCTGGGAATTCTTATTCATCACTTGAATGGCAAAAATGAAGCGTAGGGTTTCTGAATAACCAAAAGAAAGTCTACTATAAAAAAAAAAACGTTCATGTTATTACCAACGAAAGGAACATCATATTCTCTTTTTTTTTTTAAATCAACCCTCTTTGTCTCCACAGGTCTACAGAGCCTTAAGCCAACATTGATCTAAAACCAAAGACCAGTTAAGTGATGAACGCAGGATTCTACAAAGAGAGGAAAATAACGTCAACTTCCTTCAGGTTTTTTTTTTTTTGCCCCATTTTTTGGGTGTGTGTCTTCCACAAAATAAGACAAAAGAGGAAAACCATGGTAATCAAAATCATTCAGGAAATTAAACATATCCTGTAATACAGAATTAAGTGAAATAAGAAGAAAAAGAGAGTGTTAGAACTGCAAATGAAGGGAATGCATCTCTATCACTCTAAACGACTTACGAATGAGACGGATTAGAAGGAGGACTATTGAAAGGAAACGTTGAATGCAATATTTCTGTTGCAGTGTTGATCATAGTAATGAGATGGTCTCCTGGCCTGTAGTAGCTCCATGGTTGTTTTTCATCCTGGTGCTCCAAACTCAGCAGGCATTTCATTCTCAGCTTCCCAGAGACCGGCTGGGGCACCAGCAGCATCAGAAGCAGAAGCAGGAGGTCCATAATTCTTGGGGCTGAATCAGTTCTTAACAAAAAGAACTAGATGAGATGAACAAGAATTCCAAGCACTCTCACAAGATGGAAATGCTGGTGGCTTTCCTGATCCAGACAGAGACAATCCAAGCTTCAGCTGGAAAAGAAATCTCTTGCCTGCCTGAAAACTTGTGCCACACAAATGCAACCTAAGACATTTATCCTTTTCTGATGAAGGATCTTTTCCACATTGCTTCAGTCTGATGCTTACAGTTATTGGAGAAGTAGCAGAAAACTGGGGTGGTGATTATTACAGGGAGTTGCAACTTTTCCACTGGGGACCGTAAAGTTCTTTAATGCAAGGAGGGTTAGCTGGAGAAAAACATGTTAGTGAAAAACCACGGAAACATCCCTGGGGGCTCTGCTGTGTAGTGGCTGGGATTCCTCCTGTTGGGACATGTCCAGAAAGTGATGCGGGGGGGGGGGGGGGTATCTGAACCTCAAGGGAACTGACTTCTCCTGTCCTTCAACATGGTTTTTTGTTTCCAGAGTGCGCTGGGGAAGGTCAGCCAGAGCTATGGAGTTTGGTGACACGCAATCGGCACCCTTGAACCCTGCCTAATGTTAAATGTTGGCCCTGTTGGGGATTTTCCCTTATATTAGATTTCCCTTATATTATATTTCCATTATATTAGATTTATGAATCCTAAATTGGAGCTGGTTTTAAAATTGCTTCTGCCTGAAGCGAAATTACGCTTCCCATCATTTCTAGCAATATAAATTTTTGGATGAAAGCTGACTAAGGCAAGAAAGTGACAGCCTGTGGACTATCTCATTGGGTAAATAGTGAGAGTTACAGAGTGGATAGAAATCTTTTTCATTGCCACTGTCTCTCTTGTCCTTCATAGTTCATTTAAGATACTCAGATCCTTTCCATTTTGAAATTTATTAGTTTACTAAATAAACTGCATGCTTTGAGGTCTGTGGGTGAGATCGTGGAGGTGCCCACTGTGTAGTGGATGGTGCAGTGTTTTTTTGCCACACCCACCCAGCAAATTGTTTGGGGGACTGGTGACCCTCCCTCTGGTTCAGTGGTGGGCTTCAAAAATTTTTACTACCAGTTCTATGGGTGTGGCATGGTGGGCGTGGCTTGGTGGGTGTGGCAGGGAAAGAATACTGTAAAATTTCCATTCCCACCCCACTCCAGGGGAAGATTACTGCAAAATCCCCATTTCCTCCCGATCAGCTGGGACCTGGGAGGCAGAGAATAGATGGGGGTGGGGCTAGTCAGAATTTTTACTACTGGTTCTCCTGAACTGATCAGAACCTGCTGAAACCCACCTCTGCTCTGGTTGTGTGGATGTTCTTGATGGGGTGGGACCCCTGTGACATTCCTATCCCTAAGGCTGTGTAAGAACCCACACAAAGACCTCCAAGGGCTTTGAAGGAGCTGTTGAGAGTCCCCGTGTTCCTGGCTCATCTGGGTTGGTTGTTCAGAGATTATATTTCTTGTCTGGAGGCGGACATTAATAAGTGCAACTTGGCCTAGAGGGGAGAACTGGGTGGGCTAAGTGAGAAGGAACAGGCAGGTCCATCCTTACAGTGAAGAACAGACAATGGCCTGTAGCCCAGGTCCATTACTTGAAAGTTGCCCCACTGAATGTCCCTCAGATTGTCCTCTCAGTGCCTTGATAGCAGATCCTGGGTGGCTCTGGGTTCAGGCTGTTCCTCTTGAATGCCAAGTTGATACATAACAAGGCTGCTCTCCTCCATGATGTTCTCTGCCATGTCTGACTGAAGCTGGTTTGTGCCCAGAGGGGAGGAAGCCCCTTCTCTTTCAGAAATGTGCTCCCCACTCCAGTCCTGTGGAGATCCCAGAGGAGAGAAGAGGTGGCCGTTGTCATCCGTGGTTTGTTACAGGCTCTCAGGAGGCTGCACCTAGGCCTGTGTTTTGTCTCAAGGTGGCTGTGAGAATATTTCCCTGGCCTGGTGAAGAGTGTTGTGTGAATATGGTCCTTGCAGATAGAAAATTGTCCCCAGCTTATTTCAGTTATGAATTATTATTCAGCTGGTCTCCACTGAATTAATGTACCTCACTTTGGGACTCTGAGAATTCATCCGCCCATCAGCCAAAGGGTTCTGCCTCAGAAAACAAACCATGGTTATGGAGGAAGTTAGCACCTACCCCTCTCCTAGAAAAATGAACTATTCCAGGAAACATTAAAAAGGCAGAATATTATATTTCCCTGGATGAGAAAAGGAGAAACATGTTTCCCAACACCTTTGTCGCTGGGCCATTAAGGCCTGAGCCAGTCTAGTCTACATGACAAAGATCTACCTCCTCAAAGAGTCAGCCAAGGCTGGGACTCAAAAACACAGCCGAACGTTGCCCCTGCATGGCCCCATGGGTGTCTGACCACCATTCAGGACACAAGCTCACGTTCAGAGCCCAACAGAGGGCATAAAACCCAGGCACTCTCCGCATCTCTGCCCCCTTTCTTCACCCAAGATCTCCAAGGATCCTGTTCATCCATAAACCTTCTTTCCGAGCAACTTCCATGAATCCCGTGTCTTTTTCCCCACTTGGAACTGAACCCAGAAGGATTTTTCTCCCAACAGTTAAAAGCTGCAAGAGGGAATGCGGCCCTTAGCGAAAGGATCGGGTTAAGTGGCTTGAGTGGATATCAGGAGAGCTAATTTGTGACTTTCTCAGCTGACTGACTGGCCTAGCACTAAAAAAAACCCTTTTTTTCTTTCTAAACAAGGAAATCTTCATTCCCCAGGACCCTCCAGTCTTCACTGCCCCCCTCCTGCCCCCATTCACTTAGGGAAAAAATGACTTTGGGTTTCACCCTCCCCCTCCTCAGAGCCCCTTCACTTCTGAGACCCCCGTCTGTGGGGGGGAGGGGGAAGAGCCACTGGCCCATTTTTTCTCCTTCAGCCGCCCCCTCCCTTCCTGACCCCGCCACCCATTTTCCAGGCAGGAAGGCCCTGAGGGAACTCCGGGGCTTAAACCAAGATGGACTTTATTAAAAGTGCCAAAAGAAGAGATCAGCTTCCACACACAGAACAAAGTTAAAAAAGGATGGGGAAAAAAAACTACATCCAGTTTCCTCCTTTGCCAGCTTTCCCTCTTTCTACTAGAGATTCCCGCCACAAAATGGAGGCCGCTGCAGGGCCTGTGCCAGCTTTAGCTGTCCCCCTCACTGCCTGTAGGGGGCAGTGTATGGTCTGGCCTTTAAGTCATATCTGCCTTCCGCAGGCAGTGAGAAGGACAGCTAAAGCTGGCAAAGACCCCGCAGCGTCCTCCATTTTGTTGCCCAAGTCCCTTTTTGGAGATGATTCTTTTTCCCTCTGTAAAGAGGTGAGCAGTTAGAATAATGGACAAATGGAGTCGAAAGAGACCTTAGAGGTCATCTGTCCAACTGCCCAGTGCAGGGTCTACTAGAGCATGTTTCTCAACCTTAGCAATCTGAAGATGGGTGGACTTCAACTCCCAGAATTCCACAGCCAGCACTCAGGGTCCTTCCTTCACTGGGCCTTTCCATGCTTTAGGTGTCCCTCTCGCTGCCTGTAGTGGGCAGTCTATGGTCTGGCCTTTAAGTCATACCTGGCCTTCGCAGGCAGCGAGGAGGACAGCTAAAGCTGGCAAAGACCTATCTGTTTCTTAGGCCTTTTGAATATGAACCATATCTGATCTTTTATGCCTGTTTCCCTTTCATCTCCCCTGGAGAGGGAAACCTGGACTCTCTGGATCCCTAATACCAGATTCCAGATCCAAGGGACAAGATTCTAATTTCACCCCCATAGAAGGGACAGAATCTGGGGCTACCCAGCCAACCTTCAGAGGGTTCCCCCTTCAGAGGGAGCCGCTCTGGCTGAAGGGAATCCGGGGCTCGAAGCCCCTTCAGAGGCGGTTCATCCATGGACAAGCCCCGCCCCCAAGTGAAGGCAGCCGTTGGTGCTTATTTTTCAAATCTCAGGTCCAGGCCAATCAAAGCCTTCACTTGTGACATCAGAGGCTCCTCCTGAGCTCATTGGCTGGAGCTCTCCATGGCAACCTCCAGCATCCTTGGGGAGTCTGGACCACATAATGGAGGCTCTGCTCAAAATCCCTGGAAAGTGGCTGGATTGGATGGCAGCACTGGGGGCATCGCAGGGTCTCCCTCAGGAGGGAGAGACCCTTCCTTTTAAGGCAGAATTAAGGGGGGGGAGATTAGAAAAATGGGGTTCAACCAAACACGACAGACATGCTGATACCTGCCATGTCCGCAGCCTCCATACCTGTCACCAAACTCCTCATCCGCCATGTCAAAGGTTCTTGTCTTCGGAAAGGGGCTGGGGCTGGCTGGCTGGCTGGTAAAATGCACTAGAAAAACCTGCAAGGTTTAGGGGCCCAAAAATTGGCTACAGGATGTCCCAGTTGCATGGGCACTGCGACCACAAAGCTAGAGATTGACCTGCTTAATGATTTGGGGAAATTAACCTAAACTCTGATTCCGTTGGCCAGATATAATTATTTCCCAATAACACACTTGGCCTGGTGACTGGAGTATTCATTTATTTTCATTTTTTATTTCTCTAAATAGCTCAAGGCAGTGAACATATCTAAGATTCCTTCTTCCCCCCAAGAACAACCTTGTGAAGGCTGAGAGAGGGAGGGGCTCGAGGTCACCCACCTGACTTTCGTGGCTGAGATGGGACTCGGGGGTACTTGGGGGTGGGGGTGGTGTGGTCTCTCTTAATTCAAATCGGTTACCACCTTTTCCTATTATCAGAAGCACCAAAGCAGTGCAAAGATGGCCAAATAGATGGAGAGACAATACTGACTCCTTTGGAGGGTTCTGAGCGATGATCTGCCTTGAATTGGACTCAGAATTAAATGGGAAGTCAGGATAGTTTGAAGAGAGATCAGTATTAAGGGATCATGTTGGTGTTTATCAAACTAGGCCCCTTTAAGTAGGGGGGGACTTCAACTCCCAGAATTCTCCAGCCAGCCAGCATGCAGAATTCTGGGAGTTGAAGACTATCCATGCCTTAAAGGGGCCAGGTTTGTGGTTTTTACACGAAGTTGTTAAATTGTAATTTAATCAATGCTTTAGGCTATTGTCATTTGATTGTATTAACCCTCATCTGTTCCCTATTTGTAGGTTAAGGTGACAATGAAAAGGAAGTGGACAATAGAAGCCTGCAATTGAAAGGGGCCTTGTAAGTCAACTGCCTGTCTGCCTGCCTGCCTGATTGATGGATTGATTCTATGTCATCAAGTTGATTTTGACACCAAGCAGCCCATAGATCAATCTTCTCCATGGAGATCTGTCCCCAACCTGGTACTTTGGGTCTCCCAATCTGCCCCCATCTTCACTATAGCTGCTTATGGTGCTTGTTCTCTTGTTCTCTTTCCTTTACCCATGTCAGCATTACCGACTTCTCCAGGGAGTTTGGCCTCATTGATTGACAGCATTGAAATTGTGTAGCCTCTGAGTGGCCACAGGATGATCTGTCCCCTGTCTTTCAGATCTTCCAAAAGTTGACCCATCCACACAGTAATCAAATCCACTAACCTTACTCCAAATTGTCCTCTCCTTCTCTTCCCTTCCACCTTTCCCAACATTAGGAACATCTCCAGAGAGCTGGTTTTCACTTGATGTGCCCTCAAATGTGATTTTTTGAACCTGGTGGTTTGTACTTGAGAACAGATCTGGGTGGATTATATCTAAAGGATCCTTTGGCAGGAGGCCCCTCTGCAGATTGTTGGTTCTTCATTCCTGCTGCATCTCATGTTAGAGAAAATGATGGGCTCCAAAACTGTAGGAAAAAGCCAGAGTGGAGAAGGCAGATTAGCAAAATTGGCACTGAACTGAGAGGAGGATGTGACTATGTCTCTCCATTTTTCAAACAGGTCAGCAACAAGAAAGAAATGGTCACACAGTCAATATCCTTGGGCGATCTTTCAGCAACCACTGATGGTCCCAACCTCCAGGTTGATGAACTGAGAAATTCCTTTGACTTTCAGACCCAGAAATTCCAGAAAGACAATCAATGGATGAAAGATCAGCGCGTGGATCAATTTAAGACCACAGCAGAAGACCTGCAGAAAACCTGCAGAAGATCATGCCATCAGTTGGAGCTAAAGAACACATCTTTGGTGAAATGCAGTGAAGAACTCCATAAATAACTATCTGAGCCAAGTGTCCATCTTAAACAAGAGAAGGCTGACTTTGAGAAAGACCTCAAAGAGGTGAGGAACCTTCTGCCAGAACTTAAAAAGCACCTCCAGAGTCTGCAGCATGAACTGGCTGAGATGGACTACAGTGTAGTGGAGAAAAGCCACTCCAGCCAACTGAGAAAGTCACCCTCTTCAGACTATGAGGGGAAACAAGAAGAAGTACCTCAAAAGTCTGCAGCAGCCACTTCCGATCTCTCAGATCTGGTTCTGGCCAGACTCACCTGGCACACAAGGTAGCAACCCCCCCCCCCATCTTTTCCCAGGTACACCAGATTGGAAACATGATGTAACTCTAGTTTATTGGAAGGGTACATAAGAGAATCTTGCATGTCTGAAAGTACAAATCTCCCGCCAATGCTTTTGAAAGCCTGAAAAGTGAGGGAGGGTTCTTTCTGAGGTTCTTCCTCTGCCAATTATGCACCTGGGGGCTCCCCCACCTTATCTCACTATTCCCTATTCAGCATCTTCTCCTTCTCTCCCCCAAGGTCATTTAGTGATTTTTATTTATTTGTTTCTATCCTGCCTTAATTATTTTTACAAATAACTCAAGGCAGTGAGCATATCAAACACACCTTCCTTCTATTTCCCCTCACAACAAGAACCCTGTGAGGTAATAGGTATAGTGACTGAACTTGAACTCAGGATCTCCCTCTTTCTAGCCTGGTGCCATACTTTATTTGCACATATCATTACACTTCCTTAATAATTTGTGGGAATGCTGGTGATATACCTTGATTCTGCAAAGTAAACTACTTCCTGATAATTAAGTTAATTAATTAAGATAATGCCTCATAAAACTGAGGAGGTATGAATAGCAATTGGTCCTTGCTCATCTATTCGTCTATATTGTCATTAATACAGGCAGGATAGTTGAAGAAATTTATTTATTTATTTATTTATTTATTTATTTATTTATTTATTTATTTATTTCTATACCGCCTTTCTCCCATAGGACTCAAGGTGGTGTACAGTCAAGAAAAAATATAGATACACAAACATCATAAAATTGCTAATTAGAATTATTATTATAACATAGTTTGGCCCAATTAAATAGAACCCAAAATTAGATAACATTTTAAAATCATTCACATGTTCATATGTTTAGCCCCGTCTGTTGGAACATCAGGGTCTTGAGGGCACGGCGGAAAGCACGGAGATCAGGGATATTTCGTATCTCAGGGGGCAGTTCATTCCAAAGGGTTGGAGCCCTCACAGAGAAGGCCCTCCCCCTGGGAGTCGCCAGTCGGCATAATTTGACTGATGGTACCCTGAGTAGTCCCTCCCTGTGAGAACGAACTGGTCGGTGGGAGGCTATTGGTGGCAAAAGATGGTCTCGTAGGTACCCAGGTCCTAAGCCATGGAGCGCTTTAAAGGTGATGACTAACACCTTTGAAATAGGATTTTGTGATGCAACATTATATCAACTCTTAGACAAAGGTACTTTGATGTTGTTTTAGAAATACCACCCAGTTTTTAGAACAATATCTATGATTTCCCAATAGAGTGCATAAGTAAAATCCAGTAGAAAAATATATAATTTTTCAATAGGACTTAACAAGCTATTCTATCTGATATAAGAACAAATGGATGGTAGCTACAATGTGAATCTTTCATTAAGATTTCATTTGTACTTTTTCTCATATCATTTCTTTTTTTTAAAATCAATTTTTTATTTTATTTTATTTTCAAAACCTCCAAAAAAATGAAAAAAAATTACAAACAAGCCCCCAAAGCTAAATAAAACTACATTAAAAAGTACATAAAAAGGAAAAAGAAAAGAAAAGAACCAGTTCTGGTGAGGAAACCAGGAGCAGGGAATAAAACCCCTGCTGAGTCTAGCTGCCATCTTGGGGAGAGTCGGAAAAACACTTTCCTTCCAGCTCAGCCAGCAGTCCTGAGTCCTGCAGGTCATTTTCCACCAGATGTCCAGGAATTTGAACCCTTAGCATGGTCCTTTCTGACCTGGGCAACTAGAGAGCCAACCTGGGTTTCTGTAATGTATGTTATCCAATTCCTCTCATGAGTCCTGTCCAGTATGCTTGAACCTCAGGTGTAGCCCTCATCTTCCTCAGAGCACACAAGCCTATAACCACGTCAAGGTTCACGGGGGGATTGTGGTTCTTCACACAGTCAGCCAGATGTTCAGACTGGATGTCAGCTGTTCGAAAGGAAAGCTGCCTTTGGCAATTGACCGATGGTGGGGTTGTCAATGCCGATGGGTCCAAATGGGGCTCCAGTTGTTTTCAGCTTTCACCCATGTCAGCTATTCATCCTGGGGCACAAAAAGCACCAATTTAATATTTGAATAATAAAATATTATTTAATATTTTAATAATAAAATAAGCAAGGAACAATAAATAAATAAAACTTAGCAACCAAATTAATATTTAAAATTGCCAGGCTCCCACACTTCTTTCTTGTTAGCTTCTAAGGTCAGCCATCCCCACCCAAAATCCCCAAGCAGGAAATACAAAGCAACCAAGGACACCAGGTGACCTCAAGAGAACCCAAATCCTCTCCCTTCAGCTAGGACTCTTCTTTTAGACAAATCCTTGGTCCACTCACTTCTTCCAGCCTCCAAGGTGTCCACTGACAGCAGTCACCTGGGTTTTCCTGCCTCTTGAATGGAATCCATCTAAGAATTAAATAACAATAATATCATCACAATGGGAAAAAACTGACACCCAAATTAATTCAAACACTTATCAACCTCACATTGTTGTGCAAGGTAAAACGTCCAACATCCTTCTTCTCTCATCAATGATGGTGATGTTGGGGTTGATGGATTTGGGTATGTAGGGTTCCATGGTGATGATGGCAGCCTCAACATTTTTGCTTGGTTGCTCTGGTGACACTTGCAGACACCTTTTTCTGGGGATTGAAGAAGAAAAAAAGAATAAAATATAGCTTGACTAGTACTTATTCTTAATGGGGGCTCCATTACTGGAGCTTTTCAAGAAAAGTTTGGAAACAGGCACTTTTAAACCCACCTACCCACCCCCAAATTCCCTCTTTTTATTCCACATACTTTCATTTTTACAGCAATAGCTTTATCTGGGTTCTTTAGTCTCAAATATTTGGTGCCAGCTGATATTTCTGCCATCTAAACTCTTCACACTTGCTGCTAAAGTTAAGTAGATAATAAGTCTCTTATTTTTAATTGTCTCCTACCTCTATTTTTACGCTTTACCTTCCATTTCATTCCTTGCAGGAAATTGCCTGCCATGGCTGTTATGATAGCCCTGTTAAATGACCCAGGACAGCCCAGTCAAGATTTTATGACATGTGCTGTGATGTCATAATCTTTGATCCAGCTATGGGGAGATGCCAGGGGTGTCTCCTCCAGCAACTGTGGACCTTTCAGTATGGAGGGTTACACGCTAAAAGAGAGATCCTGAGAGGTCTCAGGCAGCCCCAGCTAGGCAGGGGGTTGGATTGGAAGACCTCCAAGGTCCCTTCCAGCCCTGAGGGATTCTATCCTTCTGTTAGTTCCACCAACATTTTGGGAGCCTTTCAGTGCCTTAGGGCTCCCCAGGTTGTGGTGATGCCAGTCCCCTGATCAGGAGCAACTTATCTGCACTGGTGGGAAAAAAATGCAGAGGCCAACGAATACATAGAAGACAAACAAGGTCACTTTCCAAGGGTCTCCAAGGACGTTCTGGGATCTGCCAGTGGATGGCCGCAGCAGTTCATTAGGGTCCATTTCTGAAAGAGAAAAGGGATGGAGAAAGAAGAATAGATGCAAAAAATAAAAATAAAAAATCAGACCAAGATAAATAACTTCAGAATTTTTTCCACTATTAATATAACATCTAAGCTATTCAATTCAACTGAAAATCTATTTGAGATCTTTTAAGAGGAAAAACAACAATAAAAACCTAGAATAATGCGGCCATGTAAAAATTCAGCTGTAACTCAAGTCCATGAAAATGTCCTGATCTGTCAGTTTCCCTGAGAGTAAATCCGTTCTGTAGGTGAGCAAGACTTGATTTCTTGTCTTGGGTATTTTTTTTTCCTTGTTTGGGGGTTTGATTTTGGGATGGAAAATGACTTTGGTCATCTTTGGGGTCTACGTATTGTTTGGCCTCTGTGTTCCCACATCACCATCATTGATGAAAGACGATGTCAGACCTTCAGCCCTGGTCAACAATGCGATGGTTGGCAGTTCACCCATGGCCGGTGTTTGTCCTGGGGCAAAAGAAGCACAGATTGAATATTTTAATAATAATGAAATAGTAAGCAAGAAACAAAACAATGAATAAAACTGAGCAACCAAATTAAGATTAAAGGCTCCTAGTTTTCTTTCCTGTTGGCTTCCATAGTCCAACCACCCCCACCCAAAACCCCAAAGCAAGAAATGCAAAACAACAAAAGGCACCAGGTAACTCAAGAGAACCCAAATTCTCTCCCTTCAGCTAGGACCTCTCATCTTTGGGACAAGTCCTATGTCCACTCACTTTTTGCAGCCTCCAGGATGTCCACTGACTGCGGCCACCCATGGATTTCTGTCCCGTCCCTGGAATCCATCTTAGAATTAAATTACAACAACAATAATAACATAATATGTTTAAAATAGAAAAATAAAGAACCAAATTAGTTCAAACACTTACCAACCATCACATTGTCGTACAAGGTAGAACATTTGACATCCTTCTTCATTCATCAATGACGGTGATGTTGGGGTTGATGGATTCATATATGTGTGTATATTTAATATTTCGGGTTTCTTCCCGTGTAATTGTGGATATATCCCTAAAAGGGTAGAAGCGACGTTTCGACAGAATCCCATCTGCCATCATCAGGCTTATGTCAGCAGTCTTTTGCAGTAACTGCCGTTGCTATTTCAAATCTGGTGCTGGTATTCTGGGATGGCTCCACCTTTTCATTCTGATTGGTTGGGAGTCCCAGTATGTGTTTATTGGCTTGGCTTCGGGTGTATGGTCGGTTTTTCTCCACTAGGTGGCAGGGCTTCATCTTTGTGGCTGGTTTGAATATGATTTGGTTGGGATTTGTTTTTTGATTAATGTTTGGTCTATGTTTTATATTTGGTGTTAAGATTCGTCTATCTATGAGAGCAGGTTTCCAAATAGTAGGCAGACGTGAAGTGTCATCCCATTTATTCATGCAATATGGTCTTTTTTCTATTTCAATTGCTTCTCTGATTATTCTGCCATTGAGATGTTATATTGATATATATAGGTCTTTGGTTATTCGGGTTTTGTCCCACGTAAAATTGGAAGTACCTTGGCGACTTTTCGACGAAGTCTTATTCGTCATCTTCAGGCTGGTGTCTTCGGCCTTGTGCTTCTAGGAGCAATTTGTGATTGTGGTTGTTTCTTCTTTTCAACTGCCAGTGGGGGTAATACATAGATACATAGATAGATACATAGATACGACGATGCACAGAGCGAACATCCATTCTATAAGAGCAGGACTTGGTTTCTTGTCTTGGGTATTTTTTTTCTTGCTTGGGGGTTTGATCTTGGGATGGAAAATGACTTTGGTCATCTTTGGGAACTTATGTATTGTTTGGCCTCTGTGTTCAAGGGGTTGCAAACATCACCAGAACCACCAGCTGAAGATGAGGAGGCAGCCTCCATCACTGAGGAACCTCTGTACCAGAATCCATCAATTCCCACATCACCATAATTGATGAAATATAATGTCAGACATTCAGCCCTGGTCAACAATGTGATGGTTGGCATCTCAGCCATGACCACTATTTGCCCTGGGGCAAAAGAAGCACAGATTGAATATTTTAATAATAATGAAATAGTAAGCAAGAAACAAAACAATTAATAAAACTGAGCAACCAAATTAAGATTAAAGGCTCCTAGTTTTCTTTCTTGTTGGCTTCCATAGTCCAACCACCCCCACCCAAAACCCCAAAGCAAGAAATGCAAAACAACAAAAGGAATTAAGAATTAAATAACAACATAATAACAGAATATCTTTAAAATAGAAAAATAAAGAAAAACTGACAACCAAATTAATTCAAAAACTTACCAATCATCACATTGTCGTGCAAGGTAGAACATCTGACATCCTTCGTTCATCAATTATGGTGATGTTGGGATTGATCAATCCGGGTATGTAGGATTCCACAGTGATTATGGCAGCCTGAACATCATCGTTTTGTTGCTCTGGTGACACTTGCAGATACCTTTTTCTGGGGATTGAAGAAGAAAAAGAGAATAAAATATAACTGACTGGTACATTGTTTTCTTAACAAAAATAATAAAGCTTAATGGGGGCTCCATTACTGGAGATTTTCAAGAAAAGGTTGGAGGTTGGACTAGAAGACCTCCAAGGTCCCTTCCAGCCCTGAGGGATTCTATCCTTTCTACTGTTAGTCCGACCAACATTTTGAGGGCTTTCAGTACCCCAGGGCTCCCAAGGTTGTGGTGACACCACTCCCTTTAATAGGAGCAACTTACCTGCACTGGTGGAAAAAAACGCAGAGGCCAACGAATACATAGACCCCAAGGACAAACAAGGTCACTTTCCAGGAGTCCCCAAGGACATTCTGGGGTCTGTCAAGGGATGGCCTCAGCATCTCATTTGGGTCCATTTCTGGAAGAGAAAAGGGATGGCGGAAGAAGAGTCAATTTCTGGTTTTAATGGTTGGTGGTTCCCCTCCAAGACTAACCCTCCCAAGGTCAAACTCCCAAGCAAGAAAAAAAATACCCGAGACCAAAAACCAAGTCCTGCTCACCTCTTGGTCTCCTTCACTCTGTGACACTATCTGTCTCTGTCTCAACTCTGTGTCTGTCTCCTCTCTCTGTGTGTCTTTGATTCACTCAACCTTCTTTAGCCTGCATGGTCTCACCCGTCAACGGAAAAGAGTTCAACAAAATTCAGCAGTGGAGGGATTCAAATAATTTAACAACTGGTTCTGTGCCCTAATGACCATTTTAAGTATTTAAAAAACCTATATTCTTATTTTGGGGGAATGTCTTACTTTACAGCAGGTGGGAGGCTGCACATCATTCAGCGCCTGGTGCCCAGATTGTTTCTGTTTCTGTATATTTGACTGATATGATGGACAGTACAAATCTTATGATATGTGTTAAGCTTATAAAGAATAGCAAGCTTAACAGTATCAGCATGAGGATGGTATATATTTTATATACCGTATATACTCAAGTATAAGCCGTTTTTCAGCACATTTTTAATGTTGAAAAAAGCCCCCCTCGGCTTATACTCGAGTGAAGAAAAAATGCTTTTTTTCCTGCAACTCGTCTTGGCTTCCGGGGCTGCAGGGAGGCTTGCTAAGGCCAAAATGGAGCATGAGGGGGGTGCCTAGCAAGACTCCCTGCAGCCCCCTGGAAGCAAAAACAGGCTGTGAGGGAGGGGGCTTCAAGGGAGAAAGAAACAAAGAAATCCTCACTGTTTAGGGAGATCCCCAGGTGCACTGAGCTTGAGTTGAGAGCTTATTGCAAGTGCCTGCATTAGCTATCCTTGCTCAGGCTAAGCTAATCAATAGTGGAGCTCTAAGAATTAAGTTAATTAGCAATTTTATGATGTTTGTGTGTCTATATTTTTCTTGACTGTACACTGCCTTGAGTCCTATGGGAGAAAGGCGGTATAGAAATATAATAATAAATAAATAAATAAATAAATAAATAAATAAATAAATAAATAAGCCAGATGAGAAGGAGAAAGGGAGGGAGAAAGAAAGAAAGAAAGAGAGGGGGGGTGGGGAGGGAGGGAAGGGTAAACCCTTTTACTCACACTTCAGCCTCACTGTTTGGGAATCCCTATGTGCACTGAGCTTGAGTTGAGAGCTTATTGTAAGTGCCTGCACTAGCTATCCTTGCTCAGGGTAAGCTACAAAACGTTTCAAAAGGTCTGGCTTTTCTTCCTCCTACCAAAAACCTTCTGGGGTTCTTCACAGAAAGGGAGAAAGGAGAAAGGGAGGGAGAAAGAAAGTGAGAGAGAGAAGAAAGAAAGAGACAAGAAAGAAAGAAAGAAAGAAAGAAAGAAAGAAAGAAAGAAAGAAAGGAAAAAGGAAGGAGGAGAGAGAAAGAGAGAATGCAGGTATCTCTTAACAGAGGCTTGAACTTGCCTGAAATTAGATCAAGCCCTACATCACTTAACCCAATGTATCAGATTAAATTGTTACTGAATTATTTTTGGTATATATACTACATTCTCTTGTGTAATTTAGTTATAGTGTAGTTTACACTATGCACTTACAGAGCTAGTTTACTGTTTTTCTTTGAAATAAATATTCAAAAATATTTAATCTACTGATGCCTCAATTAATGTAATTTTATTGGTATCTATTTTTATTTTGAAATTTACCATTAGCTGCTGCATTTCCCACCCTAGGCTTATACTCGAGTCAATAAGTTTTCCCAGTTTTTTGTGGTAAAATTAGGTGCCTCGGCTTATATTCGGGTCGGCTTATACTCGAGTATATACGGTAGTTTGTCCTGAGAGCCTCAACCAGGCAGGGCAACAGTGTAGTGTTGAAAAACGAATAAAAGTAGTAAAAACAGTAAAAGTCTGGCTCTAAGAGACTTATTCTCATCTGAAGTATAACACACACCCTCCGTAATTCACTTAGTAGTGGCCGAATCAGAAACCTCTAGCTGGCAGAACCCAACTTTCCTTCCCGATATAAACTGACCTTTTGTGCAGCACAAGATTCAAAGAGTCTTTCAAAGGAAGGTCAAATGCTCTTTTTCATAACCAGAAAACCTTCATTTAAAAGGAGCTTGTCAAGGGGTTTAGGAATCACCAGGGAGGCTTCCATCCACAGAGACCTCTGGAGAAGCCAGGTGTTGGCTCCTGTCTGCCCCTCCAGCCAAAAGGACCTTGGAAGGAATGCATTCAGGGGAGGGGGGGGAGACATCAGTTTGAGAAACTAACGGGCTGCCAGATTCCCCTCCCCCCCCCAATTGACTATGTCAACCACAACTGAGAATGAAGGAAGGAATGGGGCTTATCAGGAGAAGTGGGAAATCATGGATATCAGAGGATACTTTAGGCTGAGTTAATAGCTGGGATGAGACAAAGATCAGACACCAGGACATTGCATAAAAAAACAGATAGTTTTTTAGATAGTTACAGATAGTCTTTGACTTACAAGCACAATTGAACTCAAAATTTCTGTTGTTAGAGGGGAGATATTTGTTAAGTGAATTTTGCCTCATTTTATGACCTTTCTCACCACAGTTGTTAAGTTTGTGACATGGTTGTTAAGTGAATCTGGCTTCCCGATTGACTTTGCTTGTGGAAAGGTTGCAAAAGGGGATCCCATGACCTTGGGACACAGCAGCGGTCATAAGTCCAAACAATTTGGACTTATTGTCCAAGTGTCTGAATTTTGATCAAAGGATCATGGGATGCTACAAAGGTCATAAGTGTGAAAAATGGTCATAAGTCACCTTTTTTCAGTGACACCGTTGTAACTTTGAATGGTCACTAAATGAATTCCTGTAAGTTGAGGACTTGCCTGTATTATATTCATTAAGGGAAACTAAGGAAGACCCCTGTATGAACCCGTACCTGCCTGGTATTTAACTCTGAAGGATTTCTAATTTCTAGATCAAAGGAGTGGGAATCCTTAGAATTCTGCTCAAGATCAGTAGGATCTTGCCAATCTCAGGGAAGAGATCCACTCAGTCCTCATCTGGGAGAAACTGAAGAAGAAAGAAGAGTGAAGCCAGCAGCCCAAAAAGAAGCTTGAATGGAGGCAGAAGCCACAACAGCCTTCGATTCTGGGACAGTTGACCAATCGGTTCGGTCAGGACGTGGATTTGGATGCAGTTTCTTCTGCAGCATTTTGGAATTTAGAGGCTTGTTTTGTGTATTTTCTTATTTGATTTTAATTAATTTGTCTTGCGAAGGCCGGCAAGGAGTCTGAAGAGTGCTGGCTTCCTTGGATTTTTCATCTTGTTTAACAAACGTAATTCACCCTACATGCTGGCTTCCTTGGGATTTTCATCCTGTCTTACAAATGAAATGAATCTGATGATTCCCCCCCCCCCCCCCATCTTTAGTGAAGCTGATGTGGCTGGCGAGCTTTCTTTGGGAATTGACAGGCTGGATTCAAAGTTTCCGCTTTCCACAACAGCCGAAGTTCTTCAGCCTTCCGATTGCCACATTGGGTCCTTGAGGCTGAGACGGGCGTCTCTGGCTGTAGTTGGAGAGTTTAGAGAGAGAAAAATAATGACCCTACAGACCCCCCAAATCTCTCCTGCTTTGCAGAGACCCCGATTCAGAGCTATGGCTGCAACCATCCACCTGACAGCCACTTCCCTCCAAATCCACCTGGAACTAAGACTGGAGGCCACCAGGTCCAGAAAGATCCCAGATGCTCTACATGCTGAGATCCCCCATTCCTGAGAGGGGATCTTAGGGATCAACTGCTCTCTGTCTGGCAGAACTGTTTTCCCCTTCCATGGATGTCCCTGGATTCCCCATCTCTTCTCCCTCCTTTATTATATACCCTATATAGTTCTTTCTTGATTTACTGATAAAACTTCCTTTGCAGAAAGTGTTCGGGATTTCTGACTGGGAATCTTTTTATTTTGGTGTGTACTTCACACCTAAATAAATAAAGTAAATTAAAAAAAGCTGTAAAGGAATTCCACTGTAATTTTTTTCTTTCCTCAACCAGAGAAATAAAATAACAATTTTCAGGCCTTTAATTTTCCACTCTACAATTTCTACCTGAAGCATTTTCTCTGCTCTTCTTCCAAGCCTTTAAATTTTAAATTTGGTTTTAAATTATTGGGGTTTTAAATTTGTTCAGCCAAATTATTTAATTCGTTTTAGTTTATTTTAAATTTTCTATCTATATGTTTTATTTTATGGCTGTTCACCGCCCTGAGTCCTTTGGGAGTAGGGCGGTATACGAATTCAATAAATAAAATAAATAAATAATAAATAAGCCTGTCATGTCTGTGAAGGGCTGGACCAGATGCCCAGAGAAAGGGGACCTTGAAACTCTCCCCAGGAGGTTGTTGAAGGGATCCTGTCTAAAGGCAGCTACATCACTGACTATGTCACCAACCTTCAATGCTGCATAATATTCATCCAGGTCCCAGAAGGGGGTGAATGGGGGGGGGGGGGGGCTTCCAGTTTTCTAGGAAGAGGGAGCCATGGAAGCTGTTCTGCTTTCCAAGCACAGAGAATGCTGATCAATTGGGAATCAATGTTTATGTTTCAGAATGGCTCCTAATTCTTAATAGGATCCCTTTGCAAATTCTATTTTAAAGAGATAAGAAAAGCTCTGATGGATCAGACCTACTATTGCCAACTTGAGTACAACTGGATATGGCAGGTATTATTTCTATGTCAAAATGCCAATATTTCGCTCACAACTAGGGATATTTTTTTAATAGCTGAATAGCCAGGAGAAAGTTCTCTGCGGGGGCCTTATTGCTTTTCTGGCCTTTTATGCGGAATTTGAACAAGAACATAAGAGAAAAAACATGATTGACATGTTCGCTAACATGGAGAAAAGCAACGAATTCCATGGAGAAGAGAAGATTGCTCTGTTGCTCACCCACCACCACTCACTTTTCCAGAGAAAGACACACACACAAACCTGTGAGACTTTGTAGGTGTCTGCTAATGTTGATATCTGGATGAAGATGTCCCTTCTAGCTATGTCAAGGAGAACCAGAAGGTTGCCCTGCCTTCCACAGCCATAATTGGGGACATTGGCTTCTCCAATGGAGACAATGTCCAGCACGGCATCTGAAGTGCGTAAAGGGCTCCAATAGTTGTCATGGATGTTGTAGCCAAGTGTGAGATTGTGCAGGAGCTGGGGATTCTTGTTGAACAATTGAATGGTGAAAATTACTTGTAGGGTGTATAAAAATTCATCAGAAGCCTCGCTGTAAACAAATGTTCATGTTATTGTCATTAACAGTAACAAAAACTTAAAAAAGAATTTATTCCTGTCTCGACAAGCCTACTGAGTCTTAAGCCAATATTGATCCAAAACCAATCATCAGTTATTAATATGGGAATGGGCTGGGCAGCTACGACTGTTACAATCACTCCTTTAAACACAGTGAATTCAACGATGAATTCAGGAGTGAATGGGGAGAGGAAAATAATCTGGATTGCCTTCAGGTTTTTTTAACCCCATCTTTCAATTTGAGTCTGTTCTACAAAATAAGAAAAAAGAGGCAAGTTATGGAAATCAAAATCATTCAGAAAATTAGACAAGTCCTATAATATAGAAATACGTGACTTATGGATGAGAAGATATAGAAGGATCCTTGTCGAAAGACAACATTATAGGTGATATTTGTGTTTCAGTTGTGAATATACCAATGAGATGGTCTCCTGGCCTGAAGTAGCTCCATGGACTGTTTCCGTCCTGGTGCTCCAAAGTCAACAGGCATTTCATTCTAAGCTTCCCAGAGACAGGATGAAACAAAAGCAGCATCAGAAGCAGAAGCAGGAGGTCCATAATTCATAGGGTTTTATTAATCCTCTCCCCCTTTCTAACACAAACAACAGGAACAGTTAGAAGAATTCAAAGCACCCACACAAGATAGAAATGCCAGGGACTTTCCTGATATAAACAGAGAAACACTCAGCTTCACCTGGAAAGGAGAGAGAGGTACAATCAAGAACACAGATCCTGCCTGTCTCAAAACTTTTTCCCACAGAGCTTGATCTCAAGAATTTATCCTTTTCTGATACAAGATCCTTTGCATATGGCTTCAATCTGCTCTCTCTATCACAGGCATGGAGATCTCCAAGGCCCAGATGGTCATAATTACAGTGATAAGCAACTTCTCCTCTTGAGCTTCTTCTGGGCTCCATGTGCAGAGGAGAGGCTGGAGAAAAGCTTGTTTGTGAAAAGCCATAACTACACTCCTGGGGTCAATTTCTGTAGTGGTTGTGGTCTTTCTTTCTTGTGGTCTCAGCTGAAGTAGAGAGTGGGTAACCCTAAACAAGGCGGCTGGGCGATTATCTGCCAATGCAATAAGAGCGGAAAAATAGTTACATTTTGCCGCTTTTATCGCCACTAAGTGGGTCTTAATATAAGATCTCACTAGTGTTTGGTCGGATTCGGAACAGCTGGTCCTCTAACTGCTCTCTAGGCATCTTTTCCAGCGTTTCATCCCCCTCAGCTCATCAGAAAACCAAGGAGCTGGGTAGGTTCGACGCTGGGTCAGAGGCCGCAAAGGCACGACCCGGTCTAAAGCACCAGCGGCCATCCTATCCCAGGACGCCACTAGGTCTTCAGCCGAGTCATGAGCCAAGGTCTCAGGAAACGGCCCAAGCTCCATCCGGAACCTATCAGGATCCATCAGGTGCCTTAGATTTTAGATTCCCTCTGATGACGTTGCAAGCTGTCACTGGCCTTAGCTCAGGCCTCTCAAAGAGGTAGTCATTACCGCCCCAGCAGCTCTCATCGGTGAGGGCAGCTTCAGATTTCCTGCAAGTCCCCAAACCAATTTGGAGCCCCTAGGATGTCTAGGGCTCAACAGGGACTGCCATGGCGCCGTTCGTCGCTGCTGCCTGCCACCATTGTCATTCCAACCGCCGTTGCTTTAAGAATGGAGGAACTGATGTAACTGCCATTAACGGAACTGCTAGAGTTAGCCTCCCATGGTGCCTTCACGTGCCAATATCTGCCCAGCTCCGATGATCCAGAGGGTGAGAGAAACCTCGTTGAGCTGGGAAAAGGCTCCCCTAGTTGGTGCTGGGGCTGAAGGGAGTTAAATCAGCCCCGGTGGACCTCCAAACGACCCAAAGCCGCCCCATCATCAGACGGAGATTAGGCGAGAGCTGCCATCTTGGCACATGCGCAGAATGAGATTATAATTATAATTATAATCAGTTCTAATCGATGGTCCAACCTTTTCCTCCCAGAATTAAGAGACTTTGGGGTCCCCAGAGTGTTTCATGGGCTGATCAGCCATCAGGTCCCCCCTGAGGAGAGAAGCCAGGATGGAGGGTCTGAGGGGGGAATGGAGGCCCGGCTGGAGCCTCTGGGCAAAGCAGGCAGTTTGTCCCTCCTCAGCTGACTCTCTGCCCCAGAGAGCTTCCCTTGCTCTGCCTCTGGTCTCCAGGAATGGAATTAAAAGAATGTGGTGGATTTATATCCTCTTCTGATGGATAAGAAAAAGAAATAATTTTATACATGTTAAAAAAGAGGGGAAAATCCTGGATTCCCTGGTTACCCTCCAGTGTTCCATATCCCACTCCTGCCCCCGTGAAATCAGGGAAAAGGGGACGGGGGGGTTGGACCTCCCCCTCCCTTGGTGGCCCTTCAGTAAAGGTCATCTGTCCGAGTGTCCAGTGCAGGGCCTCCCAGGGCAGGTGGCTGAACCTCAGCAAATATGTCTGGACTTCAACTCCCAGAAACCCCTGTCCAGCACTAAGGTCCTCCATCCTCTTTCCATGCTTTAGCTGTCCCTCACACTGCCTGTAGGGGGCAGTCTACAGTCTGGCCTTTCAGTCCCAGTTGTTCCCCACAGGCAGCGAGAAGGACAGCTAAAGAGGGCAAAGCCCCCCCCCCCAGCGTCCTCCATTTTGTGGCCTCCTTTTTCTGAGGTGATTCTTCCTCCCTCCATTTTGAGGGGAGAAAAAAGCTGAAGGGAATATTTTCTCTGCTCTCCAGCCGGGACTCAGGGAGGGATCCCCAAAGGGGGGGAGGGAGGTTGGGGGGCAGAGGAGGGGAGGAAGACCAGGGCACACCCCAAATATACACGTAGGAGGTGAATATAGTCAGGATAGTTAAAGGCCTCAGTCCAACCTGCTGCCCAAGGAGTCTGTTTTATCATCCTGGATTAATGGTTGCCCAATTTTTCCTTGAAAACCTCCAATTAATGGAGCCCCCAGTAAGAATAAGCCTTATTATGACTGTTAAGAGAATAATGCACCAGTCAAATTTAATCCTCTTTTCCTTTTTCAATCCCCAGAGAAAGGGCCTTGAGGATGTCACTGGAGCAGCCGTCTCTCTCTGGCTACAACAGCCGGTCAGATGCTGTCGAGGTGGCCCCCATCCCTGCGGCAACCTCTCAATCCCAACATCACCATCACGGATGACAGAAGAAGGATGTCAGATGTTCTTCCTTGATCTATAATGTGAGGGTTGGTAAGTGTTTGAACTAATGTGGTTCTCAGTTTTTCTTTATTTTCCATTTTAAAGATATTATATTATTATATACTTTATTCATTAAACATGAAACTCAGTCAACTGAACATTCAAAAATGCATCACAATTACCATGGACTGGTGCTAATGGTTGATACGGGTTGCTGCCAGCGTCTTAGGTATCAACCAAATACCTTCTTAAGATGGTACGATGTTCTGAGTAGTGCAGTTTTTTGCAGTTCCGCTGGTGTTATTGCAGGAAGCTGCAATTTGTTGATGTAGCTTATAAAATTCTTGGACATGGTACCAAGTGCCCCGATGACAATGGGTATCACTGTTACATGTTTCATCCATAAATGCCTAGTTTCAATGGCCAGTCCATCTCACTGCCTGCGGAGGCCAGGTGTGACTTAAAGGCCAGACCACAGACTGCCCCTACAGGCAGTGAGAGGGACAGCTAAAGCTGGCACAGGCCCCGCAGTGGCCTCCATTTCATAGAACTTGGGGTTCCTCAGGGAAGCCTTTTGGCTGCCTAGCGAAGCCCTTTCCGGAGTCCGACTGGCTTCGGCTGAGCCCGAGCAGGACAGAGGGGTGGGATGTGTGTGTGGAGGCTTCTCTGGGCCCAGGTGTTTCTCTCCTTTGCTCCTAGATGAGGTCGCTGCCTCAGAGCTCCATGCCTTCCCGTGTGTGCTCATGTGGAGAACCCTTTGCTGCCTTTGGGGAGAGAGAGAGGAGAGACTGTTTCCTCTGCTGTGGAACCTCTTCGCCTCCCGAAAATAGGAGCCCTCAGGGGATTTAGGCCAGGCACAAAGGGGGTCATCGGGAGGGGGGGTTCAGGCCCTTTTCTTGGGGTACATAAAAAGACTTATTATCCACCAAGATGCTCTTTCACAGCTCAAGCTGCTCAACAAGGTGGGGGAAATATTGGTTTCTTTTTTCTACTTTGGAAAGCTGTAGAAGAACAACAAAGAAGATAATGGATCTGGAGGCTAAATCATGTCATGAGCCACTAACTGGGTCTGGGTATGTTTAGCCTAATGGAGAGAAAGCTCAGGGGGGGACACGATAGTATCTTGCAATATTGGAAAGGCTGTCAAGGGAAAGAGGGTGTTGACTTATCCTCCATAGCATCTGAGGGCAGGACAAGAAGCAATGGGTGGAAGCTCCTCAGAGGGAGATCTAACCTGGATAGAAGGAGGAGTTTCCTGGCAGGGAGAACAATTAACTAATGGAGTAGCTGGCTGAGTTGTGAGTGCTCCCGTTACTTGCCTCAGCTCCTCTGCCCACCTGGCAGTTCGGAGGCATGCAAATGTGAGTAGATGAATAAGCACCACTTTGGTGGGAAGGTAACAACATTCCATGGGCCCTGGGGGTATAGCCATGCTGGCCACTTGACCACGGAAATTGTTTTCGGACAATGCTGGCTCCCTCAGCCAAAAAGGGGGATGGGCACCATCCTCTAGAGTCAGCCATGACTGGACAGAGTAAATCTTTACTTTTACTTTATTATCCTAAACATGGAGAGCCCTGTTTGAAGGGGCAAAGAAATCAGCTGGAAATTCCGGGCAGCAGAATGCAAGTTTCTCACCATCCTTGGTTTTGTTTTGTTTTTCTCGCATTTCCTTATTGGCACAGCTGTGACTTTCCATCCTGTGCTGTTTCATGAGGGATGCTATCTCCTCTTGTCTTTTCATAGTCCAACAGCACCGAAGCCAAATCCGGAAAAAAGGGAAGAAACTGCTGGGTCAGGTCCTGTCCACATTACGGCATTGAAGAAGAGAAAGAGGATGACTTAGACCAGGCAACATTCACCATTGTGAGTCTTCTCTAGGAACAGAATGGGGAAAAGTCAAAGAGGGCTGGTCGTTGACTCTAGAAAATTTCCCTTTGACTCAGGAGGGCAGCGGCTATTTAGTTACAAAATCAACTTACCTCTTCTTTATTAAGTTTCAATGAAAGATAAAATACAAATGTAACCAACCCCAAAAGATTTAAATATTGGGAATGGGGGCATCAAAGGGGGGAAAGTTGAAAAAGGACAAGAAGATGGGGGGAGGAAGGATACAAAAACGGACTTCAGATTTTCTTCAGGCCAGAAACAAATATACAGGTAGACCATAATTGAGCCCAGAATTTATGTTTGTTAAGTGGAAAATTAGCTCTGTGAGTTTTGCCCCCATTTTATGACCTTTCTTGCTACAGTTGTTAAGTGAATCACTGCAGTTGTTAAATTAGTAACACAGTTGTTAAGTGAATCTGACTTCTCCTTTGACAGAAGGTTGCAAAAGGGGATCACATGACCACAGGACACTGCCACCGTCATAAATAGGAATCGGTTGCCAAGCATCCGAATGTAAATCACGTGACCATGGGGACACTGCAAAGGTCATAAGGGGGAAAAAAAGATCATAAGTCACTTTGTTCAGTGCTGTTGTAGCTTCGAACGGTTGCTAAATGAACTGTTGTAAGTCAAGGGCTACCTATATAATAAAATAATCGGTTACTTTGGATCGAAACAAAAACATCATTCCTCCACCTTAATGAATTCACCTAAAGAAAGATGGGAAATCTCTTGCAGGGTCTTCAAGATTTTAGAGCTTCCCCATGGTGACTTGTCTTGAGAACAGGAAAGACTCCCGTGGCTGCCATTTTGAGAGGGTGCCCACAGCAGATCCCCTCCCCCAAATTCAAATGGGCCCCTAGCCTCAAAAGGTTGCCTCAGTCGGGGTCTCCCTTTCCTCCGCCTTCCTTCTGATGTGCGACTAATGCGGAGCTTTGCTTTCTCTGTCTCCCAAGTGCAAAGAGCAAAGAGCTGATGAAGCCAGTTAAGAACCCTGAAGCATCTGGATAAGCCAGAAGAAGCCATTACAGAGGAAGAGCAGCTGGAGGAAACCCGGAGTTGCCTGCTCAAGATAGGAGACCACATTGCTGGATGTATGAAAACCCACACTGAACAGGAAGTTCTTGAAGTACGGAGAAGCTGATTTGCCTGCCCACCAGTTCTTCAATCTTTCTCGCTCTCTGACTGGGTCATGCCATGCTTAGATCAAAATCTGCAGACTTTATCTTGCGAGTCTTCATGACTCAAGTTTGAATCAAGACAGAATATGGTCTTCTCCAGAATATGATGAGGATCCAGAGAAGAGAAGAAAGGGGGATTCGAATACTTCTCTTACTCATCCCCATGCCCCTTATTTGTAGATTTGTGCCCTGTTTACTGAGGTGTTCCTTGTTTAATCATATGAAAAGAAAGCTTGCTCTTTTTAACAAGCGGGAATTGTTGGAAGGTGAGAAAATGGGGGGAGGAGGGAGCAACTGATTGGAGGCGGAGCGGAGCATGGCATGTCCTCTGTGGGTGAGAGGTTGAAGGGGCGACTGCAGGGGAGGGCTGCGTGCTCTGGCTCCACTCCAAAGAGGGGCAAGGGTTTGGGGCAGTGTGGGACAATGGCTTCAATGTTGGGGGAAGGGGGGTGTTGTTGGGGGGTGCCTTGTTCCGGCTACCCCTGGGTGTAGGGGAGTGGGACAGGCAAGGGGAGTGTACGTTTGGGTAAGGCGAAGGGGGTGGGGAGAGCAGAGAGGCGGAGCTGCTGACGGAATATTTTGTGTCCGGGGAAAGGAAGGCTGTGCATGGGGAGGGGGTGCAGCAAGAGGAAGCGATTGCAGAGTTTAAGAGGCCAAAGATCTGTGATTCTCCAGGAGCGGCTTCCATGGCTCGGCTGGCAGCACGCCTGGAATGTCTCCGGTGCTAAGCAGGGATGCTCAGGGTCCTACCCATTTTTTAAATATGTAAATTTTAATCTGTTTTTAAATTATTGGGGTGTTTTAATCTGTCTGGGCCAAAATGATTTAATTTGATTTTATCTGGTTTTTAAATTTTTTGTATCTATGTATTTTATTGTTTGGCTGTTCACCACCCTGAGTCCTTCGGGAGTAGGGCGGTATACAAATCAAATAAACTAAACTAAACTAAACTACCTGGATGGGCGACCTGGGCTGGGGAAAAGCCCGCCAGCAGGGGAGTCTTTTCCTCCCTGTTTCCCCCAGAGAAAAGTGGGGCTCTCTGCTTACTGACTAACCCATTTCAAAATCCCAGCTCCTCCTTTCCCTTCGCTCTGCCCAACAGTCCCAAGACTCTTGCAAGGAATTACTTTCCCCAGCAGTTCTAATAACTACAGGTACGTTACTGCTTTCGACCTGTGTTTCAATTTCTCCCTCGGGGTTTGTATTATCCAAAGTAATCTGCCGGCTCAGAATCTGCTGCTCAGTGTCTGGTAGCTTCTCAGCTTCTGGTATGCCCCTTAACCCCTGGCTGAAACTTTCTCCTGCCTGGTTCTCTCTTTCTGTTATATCGTGTTCAGTACCCCATCTGACCCGTAGCTGGTCTTGGTGACATCTCCAAACCTTGCCTTGTCCCATATCAACCTTATATGAGCATGGATCTGTAATATCCACCACCTTACCTGGTAACCATAACGGCTGACCCCCATAATTCCTGGCATACACTTTATCACCCACACCAAAAGGTTTAGATGTCCTACTTGAATCCAAAGGCTTGGCAGGGGCGTAACGGGGGTGTAATCTATCCAAAATTGTACGCAGCTGGCGACCCATCAGTAATTCTGCTGGACTCCGATTGGTAACCTGACAAGGGGTGGTGTGTTGCACTAACATATACTCCGCTATACGGTCATGCTATTTCCCTTGTCCCATGCGGCCTAATGCCTCCTTTGCGGATCTCACAGCCCTTTCTACAAGGCCATTACTGGCCGGGTGGTAAGGAGAGATAAGGGCATGCCTGATACCTAATTGGGCAAGGAAAAAAATCAAATGTGGTAGAAGTTAATTGGGGCCCATTATCTGACACCAATAGGTCGGGCAACCCGTGGGTTGAGAATAGTGTATGAAGGGCCTTTATGACAGCCTCTGAGGATGTTGAGTGCATAAGTATCAGTTCAATCCATTTAGAGTATGTGTCAACCACCACTAACAAAATTTGACCATGAAATGGCCCCGCAAAGTCTATATGAAGGTGGGACCACGGGCCAGCGGGGCCTTCCCATTTCCTGGGTTTACCCTTAGGGGGCATTGGCCGAGACTCTTGATAAGGGTGGCAAGTGGCCACCCAGTCCGTGATACATTTATCAAGAGTAGGCCACTAGAGATAGGTTCTAGCTAGAGCCTTCATTCGGACTATTCCTGGATGTCTGGAATGCAATGATTTTAACACAGAATCCCGTAAAGATTTTGGAATCACCACCCTGTGTCCCCACAGTAAACAACCCCCCATCACAATCGGAATGTTGGCTCCTTGGCAATCTTTTAGCAGGAGATGGCAGGGGTCTAGTTGTCATTTAGCCAGTTTCGGAACTAGTCATTTAATTGTACTCCATGACACCAAGGATGTAGCAGAGCCGGAATCAACTTCCATGGTGCACGGTTTCCATTCGATGAATACTGTAAGGTGAATCTTCTGCTGGCTCAACATATTTGGTGGTGTTACTAAATTCACATCAGAAGAAGATCGTTGGTTACTATTACGAACTTCAGACGGATTAGGACGATATTGTTGGCCCCCATCCTGCGGCACACGTGATTTGAACTGTGGCTGAGGGGCTCTGCATACTCTGGCGAGATGACCTTTGCGGCCACAGCAGCGGCACTCTGCGTTTTTAAAACGGCAATTAGCGCGCAGGTGATTTCCTCCACAGCTGAAACATGTGTTCGGCCCCCTTGACATGCTAGTTGGGCCAGAGTTTTGTTTTCTAAACTCTTGAAGACGGCACACTTCAAAATCACCATCAGAATCTGACAGATTCTCATTTGTCTCATTTACAGACGAGTCTTTTTCCATCTTAGGTGGAGTATATCCACGGGGTAACTCGGCTAGTGACAATGCTGCCAGTTCTGCAGCACACGCCTCATCCAATGCCATTTGAAATGTGAGGTTGTGATTCGCAATCAGTCGCCTTTTAAGACTTTGGTCCCTGACCCCACTGACAAGTCTATCGAGGAGATAATCTTCTAAATCAAAGAATTCACAATGCCTGGTTGCCCACCTCAGAGCCGCAACATATTGATTAATAGTCTCTCCAGGGGCCTGATCACGATGGTAAAAGTGTTGGCGACGGGCTATTCTTGAGGGGGCTGGTGCGTAATGTTTTTTTAATTTTTTAATAGTCTTCCCATGTTCCCGAATGTACAGATTGTGGGGCCATTAATGTCATTGCAGTATCAAACATTTTAGTACCGCAGAAACTTAGGAAATAAGCACGTTTGCACTCAGGCGTCAGCTTTGTATAATCATTTGCAATTAAGAAACATTCAAAATGTGAAAGGAGGAAAGGTCTGTGCGGACACCATTTCTTCTTCTTTTTCTTCTTCTTCTTCTTCTTCTTCTTCTTCTTCTTCTTCTTCTTCTTCTTCTTCTTCTTCTTTTTTCCTAACTGACTCATGTTTTGCTTCTTCAGTTTAAATCTCTCTTCTTTCCTTATTACTATGACCGATAGATCAACCAGTTGATCCTCATCACCAGTTGAAATGTATTGGCTGGATCAAGGACGATGGACAATGCGAAGATCATGTAATTAACTGTTTATTAACAATAGCTGGGCTAACTGCCACAGCTATAACTGAAACTGCTTGGAACTCTGCCTGACAGCTCTTATATAGCCAGCTGTCAGGCGCCTTAACCAATCAACGAACAGAACGTTACTTTAACCAATCAACGAACAGAATGTTACTTCCTACTTCAGCAGACTTAATACATTGCAGTTGGTGGGTAAGCGAAGGAGGGGGCCGGCTTTTCTTTGGGGGAAACAGACTTCCCTGCTGGCTGGATTTTCTGCAGCGCTCGCCCTGGTCCCCCATCCAGAGGAGACCCTCAGCGTTCCTGCGTTAAAAGCACTGCGTACGCAGGCAAAAAAAGGGGGGAGTTTGAAACCTGCCCCCCCAAAGAAGATTGATTTCCCTCCCCCCCACTTCCAAAAGATGCAAGTTGGCACAGCCGCTGCTCCTCTCCTCCCTGAAATGCTGGCAGCCGAGCGTGTAGCCGGCGCTGTTTCTCCCCCGCCCGACGCGTTGCAACCTGGAAGGGAGAGAAATCCGCCAGGCTCCCCGGAGCCCTGAGCTGGAGCACTGCTTCTCTCCTCGGGGTCACCCGCAACTTTTGGGAAATGGAGCCCTGATTCGACCTGGGAGGGAAGCAGCGCAGAGCCGGTGGTGGCCTCAATCCGTGCAACCCGGACGAGAGGAAGCCCATCCAGGCACTCCTGGCTCCTCTCTCGCCCGCTGCGCTCTGAGGAGGGCATCCGCAGGGCAAGGCAGTGGGACGGGAGGCGACTTGGGTAGCTCGCCTGCCGGGATTGCCCAACCTGGGTGTGGCGCGAGGGAGCGGGACAGGACAGGGGCTTGAGTGACAGCTGTCTGTTTGGGCGAGGTGAGGGGGGAGCCGGGAGGCGTAGCTGCAGAAGGAACCTTTTGTGTGAAGGAGGGGGGGCAGGAGTGCCTGGTGAGAGTGCGGGAATCAAAGCCAGCCGAGTGACTTTGCGCCAATCACTACTAGAGTTTTAATCTCACCTTCAAAATAAAAGCCAAATGGGTATCCTGGGGCCAATCATCAGGGGGCTGGGAGTTCCAGTCCTAGCTTAGTCAGGAAAGCCAGCTTGGTGAGTTTGGGGCCACTGCCCAGGATGCTCTGAGTTCTAGTTCTGCCGTAGACATGATTGCAAGTCAGGTGACTTTATCACCGGGATTGGTGAGTTCTAGTTCCATTTTAAGCAAGAAAGCTGGCTGGGTTTCCAGTCCTTCCTCAGTACTTATTGATTGGGGGTATGAACATTGAAAAAAATATTTTCTCAGATTAATGTGGGATACCAGAATTGGGGAATTCCCAGAATGTGGGAGGGCTGAATGTCTAATATTGTGTGATGCAATGGAGGGAAGTGAAATTGTGGGAAAACACCAGTTCCATGTTGGGCAAAGCCATAAGTCTCTGCCGCTTGTGGGAGAACCAGAGATATTTGTTGGTCACTGTGACTAATCTTGGTCTGATCCATCAGAGCTTTTCTTATCTCCTTAAAATGGAATTCACAAAGGGATTCATTTGCAATCGGAAGCCATTCCAAAACCTCAAATTCATTGCTAATTGATCAGCAATCTCTGTGTTTGGAAAGCATAATACCTTCCGTGGATTCAAATTCCTGGTAACTTAGATGCTCCCACCCTTATTTGCCCCATTCTTGGACCTGGATGAATATGCAGTATTGAACCCGTTTGCCAAAGTCCAGAACATTCGGTTAAATGATGGGGCTGCCTTTAGACAAGATCCCTTCAGCCTCTTCCTGGGGAGGTTCCCTTTCTCTGGACATCTTCTCCAGCCCTTCATAGACAAGACAAGCTTGGAAGAGGAGCAGAGAAAATGCTTCAGG